GTCATGTGGTATTTTAAATTTTTATTGAATGGTTTCTAATCAATGATACTTACAGGGAGGAGTTGGTGAAAAAAAGAACCAGCAGATCCGCTAGAAATGTAATTTTTCAGTCATGTGGTATTTAAATTTTTTTACTGAATGGTTTGCTATCTAATGACACTTATAGGGAGGAGTTGGTGAAAAAAAAGAACCAGCAAGTCCGCTAGAAATGTCATTTTTCAGTCATGTGGTATTTTACATTTTTATTGAATGGTTTCTAATCAATAATACTTACAGGGAGGAGATGGTGAAAATAAGAACTAGCAGATCCAGATTTAGTACATCAGCTTTCGGTCACATAATGAATTTACTATTTTTATTGAATAGTTTGTTATCTAAATACAATTAATATATATATATATATATATAGAGAGAGAGAGAGAGTTAAATTGCCAAATCTACTCTAGAACTTCCAACGAGCTTCTGACGCCTTCAGCTTTTAGGTACATTTACTAAACTATAAATGCACGGAATAGCGTGTGATTTAACGACATTTTTTGTTAATATAGTTCCTAATAATAGAGACATACAGAAAAATGAAAAACAAAATACCATCAACTGCAATTTTTAGACCTCATAATACATCGTTACGATCACAATCTTTCCACGGAAGTTTATAAGAAATCAATACATGCCTTTCAGTATATATACATTGCAGACCCATTCACCCACACGCAGTTAAACGTAGATTTATTAAAAATTTCCAAACGGAATACAGAAATTATGCGATGTTCAATGTATAAAGCAATCAACCTGTCTCATCTACGACTTTTCAAAGTAATAGTAACTCAAAGCAGTCAATCATCAGACAGTCCCTAAGACCTTATCACAGACTCCCTTGAAGAATCTGTAACCACCATCTTTTTTACCATTTGTATCCCATCTAAGCTACAAATTCAAGTAAATTTGTATTAAATTTAAAATTAGAGTTTGTTTCAAATCCGGCAGAAGTCTTAGAAAATATCCTGACAACAACAACAACAAAAATCTAGGAATTCCAAGAAACTAAAACATGTAAGTTACAATGTCTCCTGTTTCAATGCAAGTTACACTGGAGAAACAGGAAGAACAAGCAATCAGGTGCTAAAAGAGCATGCTGATGAAATAAGGATCTTATACTCAGAAAAATCTGCCATAGTGAAACACTCTTACAACACACGCCACTCATTTGAACAGAATAAGTACACGATCTTATACATTGCACAACACTGGAAACTTAGGAAAGTTAAAAGTTTTCAGCATAACAATAACTAAACCAAAATTAAATCTAAACTAAGATTAAGAATTAATAAGATATATATAACAATATTTTACAGAAACTTGACACAAACTGGATTCAACAACATTCCAAATGACCAAACAATATTCATTACAGGTGAAGCCCCTTTCAGGGCCGCGTTATTGTCTTATCTTTTTTATTAATAAAGTAAACTGATATGTTAATCTAAAACGTGTTACTTTTTTGTGCTACTAAAGTAGTTGATTGAATAAGAACTGTTGTACTTAATCCATCTTGTCGTCACAACAGTTTCGGTAGTAACACCCGAGAGTTCTGATGATATTTTAGGATGCAGAATGCCTTAGCAAGTGGAATATGACACTTAACAATATTTTTCAAAGATACTTTACAATGTGCAATTCAATTCGATCGGAATTTAGAAAACAAAAGTGTAGTTGACGTATATATATATTGTGTGTGGTAATAGTGATAAGGCTTTTATGGATAATGTTATATTATTCGTAAATAAACTACAAAATAATAGTTACAAATACTGGCAATTAAGAAAATTTTTTGCACTGTTTTATACCAAATACGAAAATATTAAAAAAATAAAATTTCGATAAGGAAAATACATTTTTTTTGTCTCTAGAGGTCGTTAGCTACTTTTAAGTAGCTAAAATTAAAATTATAATTTTATTCAGTATACCCGGACGGAAAGATTAACTTCAAGTAGTTGGGCTTGTCTCGGCTTTCCCGTGTTATACTTGAATAAATTTTCAAGAGAACGGGAGGAGGTTGGGAATATGAATTACATAAGAAATAATAAGGTGGGGCTTGTAGTTCTATTTAAGATAATTTATTATTTCATTTATTTTGTAAGGGCAGAGGTTGGGAGTGGCATATAGTAGAAATATTAGGTTTCATTTCATTTCTACTTTATGAATTATAAGAACTTTTAAGGGTAACTGACTGCAGACAGTGAAAGGCAGTAGATATTGAGATGTTGTGGGTGTAAGCACTCATCTCCATATCCTTAATTGATTTTTCATGATTGCTACCTAGCTTAACATCAGCGTTTGGGTTTTGTCTGGTAGATGAGATATCCCCAAAACATTTGGGAACTACTACCACAGGGATTATCCGTTATGACTTTAAGGTGAGAACTGGGGTTAACAATGGATTTTGCAAAAAAAAAATTCTTAATGCTTATTTTATATTCAGTTCATTATTTTTTTTATAGTGCTGATTTTAATCGCCTATTAACAATTAATGTAAATAATAGTATTGAAGGTACTTATTTTGTTATATATATAAAGGCTTACCGCTGCAGTTATTTTTCCCTCGAATCCGTAATTGCTACTCCAGTAAGCAGTTTCATTGTGACCTGCAACCAGTATCAGTACACTCAGGCTACCACACAGGTAGAAAATAAAGGCCAAGCAATGGTAGAGAAGTTCCTGAAAATTCGAACAATGATTCAGTTCCATAAATCCACATTACACCTCATATTTGTTTCATAAGTTGAACAATAGTTGTGTTAAGTGTCAAGAAGTAAAATTCTACATTCTTGTAAGTTGACGAATTAACACTGTTAGCACATTTTTAGAATAAATAAAACAAATATTGATCAGTTCTGTTTGATATTCTGAGTATCTTCCCTCATATAGGAAGTACTATATATTATTTTAGAATACATTTTCTTATACGTAATACGTCACTTTTACGTCATAAACAGTTATAGAAATATGAGAATAAATAAAGATAAATAAACAATAACGAAACACTTCTCAACGAAACAATGAACAATTAAAACCAAGTTTTATATTTATTTTTAATGATTTTTAGATTTTTAATACCAACTACTGAAGTGACATCAAAGTAAAGTTCATCTTTTATACCCTAAGCATAACCTAAGAAAGTAACCATATTTTTGTCAATAATATATATAAGATCTTCATGCGGTGTCGTTTTCGATTTGTATGTAATACACCATTATTTTTTTACAGGCTCTTTCTAAAGAACAGAAAACACCTAAGTTAAACATAATATCCCACGACAGTTTCATTCTAAAGAGCCATGAAAGTAAGAAACAATTTGCGTTAAATTATATGAATGTTTATTTAGATCAGGAAATCAATTAGCATACGTTACTCAGAATGAAAGCTAGCCTGTGTGGGATATACGAATAGTTAACAAATGTTCATTATAGCTTACATATTAGCATATGTTAATGAGAGTAAATTCTAGTACGTGTTGAATATAAGAATAATTAACATATGTTAATTATTGAGGTTCAGTTACCTTATATTAATCAGAGCAATAGCTAGCACGGTTAAATAGAATTAATTAGAGCAAAGCTAGTACAAAGAAACTGCATTGGTTATTCAATAACTCGGAAAAGGGAAACCCATTTCAATATAACTGTGAAATTCAGTCTTTTTCTTAATGTGTGAACACGCATACGCAGGGGAGGGGGGTTTGGCCGAACCCCCTATTTTTGTGATGTAAAAAAATATGTTTATATAGTTATAGCGTAGCTGCTTGTGGTATTTAACGTTTTCTACATACTCTACACCAGAGGTGGCCAACCCGCAGCTCCTCAAAAGGTGATATGCGGCTCCTTAAAAAAGCATATTTCACTAAGCCTGTAATTTAAGGTAAAACGTTTTGACTTAAGGAGTATAGCAAAATATATGAAAACATGTAGTTAAAGATTTAACTGATGTTCCGTTATATATAAAATAAGAGCATTTTGGGTAAAAGCAACAATATTTATATTATTTTATATAATCAAAGCATTTGTATTGTCCGGAATCACTTAGTTGGCGCTTTCTGGAAGCCTCAGTTTCGTCTCGGACTTTGTCAAATTGATTAATATTATCATCTTTATT